GTAGGGGAGCGTGGCCATGAGGCGGTGTCGCCGAGTTCCTCTGCGCCCTCCGAGTCAAGAGACACGGGGGGAGTAACTTCAGAGTCACTCAGAATGTCAGTGCTTGCTCGCCGGGGTATAGAAGACAGGATGGATACACTCGCACTCACCAGCCGACTTTTGGAGCGAGATGACTTTTCTACTGACGCATCAAATGTTGCGTCAGAAATATTCACTGGAGTGTTGGAGTAAATATTTGGTAGATAATCGGCGTTAGAGGATTCGTCCAGGGTTGAAGTGACAGCTTCGGCGCCAATATCATCTTCTATTAGTGTGCTTGTGGACAAAGAAACTGAATCCATACATAAACTGTTTTCTCGTGACAAAGTGCTACCTGAGACAGAGCCAGAACTTGGAGATTTACTCAGATCATCAGTCCGTTCTAACGGTACCACTTTACCCGCTTCTTCTGTCACGCAATTGTCTTGAGTTGCCACGTCATCCACTACGCTATAAGAAGCTGGATGAGAGACGCATGATGCACAACTAACATCAGTGACGTCATGTTTTTCTTGCGAGCCTTGTTGTGTAACGTGGACTACCGTTAACTGAGGCTGCGTAGAGGCTAGCTTGTCCTCTCCTTCTGATTCTTGGTTTTGCCCAGATGATGCCTCACTACTCCTGTCACCTGAGTCGAAGTCCGACGAGATGTTGGACAACCTATTCAGTGTAGGGTCGAAACCGTCAGGGCAGTCGGACCGGTCATCTCCGTCCTTACGGTCGGGGGGTTGGGTAATGTCAGCTGTGGTTGGCTGATCTCTAATCCCGTCTTCGGTATCGGAGACTGTTTTGGATGAAGAATCTGAGAATGAAACATATCCGCTTTACAATTTACTGCTTCCACTGATTGCACTGCTCTAAACTGTTAGTAGAAATACAACTGAGGACATCAGCCGTTCCTTCCCCGGGTACCCACCCGGGGTCAGCCGAACACGTGCCGTAAGCAGGGCTTGAAATAACGGCCGCCCAGTTAACAATGTCCGGTCAAAAATAGGCTTTGACCAGACATATTGTTGGATGACCGGACATTTGGTCCCGTTGTTTACTCTTCTAATGGAAATGTCATCCAGAATCTCTTCAGATTTTAAAACAATAGAGATATGACGTAATAGACCTTTTTCCGGCCAAAAATAGTCTTGACCGAACAAACTTGACCGCCTCCATCCAGGAAATTATTTCAAATCCTGACTGTAAGTCTACTCTGATAAATCATTAGCAACAACTGAAAACATCGCCCGTAGTATTTAGTGCATTGCACAACAGAAGCTCGAATAGCTCAAGAATACTTATACACCACACTAATAATGGCACAGCCTTCGCATATTCAAAGTGTAAAACTTTATTCAAACAACTTTCACGCCTTCAATGAGGTATGCTCTTCCCTCGTTGCTAGTTCCTGAATTGGTACTTTTAAAGAGGGTGAATTGACATTTTTGACATCAGTTATCTAAGGTCTTCCTAAAGTTCTCTATCGCTAATAGTACGGAAAAACGGGCAACAAAAAAAATGCAACCTGTCTTGCAACATTGCTGCAAAACGAGTTGAACAGCGATGTTGCAAGACAAGTAGCACGTTTTTTGTTGCCCGTTTTTTCCGTACCTTAAGTGAGAGAAGAAAACCTCTTTGAGTTGAGCTGTAAGAGTCCGCTATTATTGTGAAACGTGACAATAGCTTTCTTGTACTAAAAACATACCTTTATTAGATTTCTTCTTGTTCCGCTTTTGTTTTCGAAACACGATCTCTCCAAAGTCTTGATGTCTTATATCTTGGTATCTTTTAAAAGGATCCACATGATCGACTGCCAGTGAACTACTTTTTTCGGACGCATCAGAAGTCCCTACTGAAACAGGCTCAGAGATCTTGTCCTGAAACACGCAAGTCGCGTAATACAGCATGTCAGCTTGGACATTTTCTAAAATCGCCTTTCCAAAACAAGCGTGAAATAACGTAAAGAAACAGTTGTAGCTGAGTAGAGCTGCAAATGATTTATAATACCAATACAATGCAGTAGAGCTGACTGGGTTTCCCAAAAGGATGTTCATACCTGAGTTACAACGTTTTAAAAATATTAACATTACAATGAAGGTGCAGCTACAAACAACTACAGGTGAACCTCAATCCCAACAAACTCGCCAAAAAAAATTTAATCTGAACATAATAATTTCGAGCATTTTGGGTTTTAAAAGTGACACGCAGTCTTGACTTTTACGTTTCGCTTACTCTACTGCCCTAACGCTTGCCACTTTTTGTTTTTGTTGTTATTGTTTTTCTCTTTTGCCGCACATTTAGTAAGCTTCATTTTGGTGGGAAGAGTTCTAGGGAAAACTTTTGGAATACGAGTTATCTGTTCTTGTACTTACATTGTTTACAACTGGCAGTTGTTTGTTGCGTTCCAGCTGAGGCTGCTTTGTATTTTCCTCCTCTTCCCTTTTATAGCTGTGCTCCATAAGCGCAACAACATCCACAAGAGGATTAGCCAGTCTGGGAATCAAACTCAGCTTCATCAGCCGCCTCTCCCCTCCCCCTTGCAAAACGTAAATCTCATGGCCCGCGGTACTGACGTCCACAATGTCACCAAGGTTGCCATGGTAACCAACAAGGGCGCAAGGCGAGGGGTCTAGGACCCACAGTCGTGACGTATCCCAGGTAACAAAAAACTGCCCGTGCAACAGTCTCAGGGGGCCAAACTGGGGTTGATAGTCTGGGGGAAGTTTTGTCAGCGTGGGCGGTGGGGGGTTTAGTATCATGATACCTGGGGGATTTTCATTAGTCAAACCCTTGTACATTAGAGTTGACAAGACCTTCCCATTGGTGTCAGCAGTCCATAGGCGTTGGCCTGGCCTTGAGGTGTACACAGTCGGTTGCTTCTTCAACCTCTCGTCTGATGTTCCTCTTGCTGGAGGATAGAACATGGCTCCAAATCGTCCTGGACTAAACGAGCAAAGCAAATACACCATAATTAAATAAACTAGTAGTAATTATAGATTAGTGAGTGCGTTCGACTTTTCTTAGCTTTACCGTCAAGTATTAGTCCAAAATTAGGTAAAGGTGAAGCGAAACTGTTCTAAAAATAAAAATTCTTTCTATGCTCTCCGCGTAGAAGGCTTCATATATTAAAAATAAAATATCTTATCCATCCTCGAGTATGGCCCACAAAAATGTCAAGTAGATCGTAAAAATCTACAGTATATTTTGTCCGGAAGGTTTTTTGCACTACACAGTTAGCCGTAGTTTTCCTTTGGTTATAAACAATAGTTAGCCAGCAGGAATAAAAACATATAAAAGGCAAAAAGAAATGAACAGCGGTACAATATGAGGATATGGATGGCGCACAAACCTTAGGATAGGAATTAACTTCGACGTAGTTTTCCTCAGCAGAAAGTATTTCAAGCATTAATTACAGTGTAACCATTTCTTTTTCTAATTTTAACCAAAAGAAAATGGGAGAATTTTACTAACATGCACTGACCTTTTCCTTTCTTTTTGTCCAACTTGAGTAACCTTCTCAGAATGAAAGTCCCACAGAACAGTCCTTTTCTCAGATGAAATCAAAAGAGCATCCCATGAATATGACAGCTGGACAATGGGAGAAGCCTCTTGTAAAATCATCGCCGTCTGAGTAAGTTCCTATTTGAGAAAAAAAAAACACTGTTTTTTAAGCTAATTTTCAACTTTTAAACATTTTTTGTGGCACACATTTCTTTGTTCATGGTTACATGTCTAAGATCATCAAATAGAAATCACCTTCTGCTTAACACTGGTCTTTATGAACATTGAAATCTATGGTTGAAAAGGTCAGATGCAAACCAGAGAAGTTAAGTTGAGGAAAATGTAACAATAGTATGTGAAAAAAAGGTCACAAGCCAAAATTCAGGTCTTCTACATTTAAAAAAATAATGCTGTGGGATTAAAGAAAAAGTCATTTAGGTTATGTGCTCCCAGCTTTTTAATTGTACGAAAGTTATTTACTTAACAAAGTGCTGTTTTACAATTTTATCACCGTTGTTACTGTACTTCCAGATAGAACTAAACCATTTTAGTAAAATCCAGCTAGTGGTCTATTATCAATGCTGCATTCTGATTGGTTGAGCTACTACTAGGCCATATCTCTAATATGTTATAGCCCACTAGTAGTGAAAAGCACCGGCTTTGAAAACAAAAACAATGGCGGCTGAATCACGTTTTGCTACTTTTGACCAACAAGTTGGATTTTACCAAACCATTATTCCTCTTGCCCTCATGGCCTTTGAGTCAATACCCCATTCAGCCTTCAGCCTCATAGGCTATTGACTCAGAGGCTATGAGGGCGAGAGGAATATTATTGTTAAACAGCTATCATTAATACTGTATTTGTTTTTTTTTTTTTTTGTGCACAACATATTATTTACCTCGTGAAGCTTTACCACAGTGACATAAACTTTGCCCTGTACATCCCCACTGTAAAGCAGTTCGCCATCAGGAGACCACTCCAGACAGGTAACTGGACTGTTATGGGCCCCACTTACATGCATGGTCTGAAGCTACAGATACAGGTTGTAAATACTAGAATTAACCGCTTACTAACCGGGCAAAAGGGCCAATATAGTACAACCCTTGTGCTAGGTTAGTAAGCGGAAACATGCATTATTGACCTAGCATGAGGTCAACATGGCTGTTTATTGGCCAAGTTCATCTTTGCATTTTTACAGACCAAGATGAATATTAGCCTGTGTACAGACGCCCCCCTCCCCTCAGAAAAAATAGGGAGAGGTTGAGGTCAGTAAAAATGCAAAAGAGAACAAGGCCAACATCCAGCCATCTTGAATAAACATTTGCCTTGTCAATAAGTGATTTATTATATGGCCAAAAAGGGAACTCTTTCTTGTTGGATCAATGCAAGAAACTCCGAGTGGTCCAGATGGGTCCATCTTGCCCCTCCAGGGTCGCAAATAACAACACACGATTCATTTCATCTTGCCACCCCATGGATTCAGCCACACAAATGGAATGATAACAGAGAAATCAATGCTCAGTAAACAAAATAGAGTGGCACAACAGGGGTATCAAACTGGGGTGGCTCAAAGTGGCCTAATGTGACCCTCAAATGAAGGAAAAATTTGACCAAACATTGCAAAATGAAAGAGGTGAGATTTAATGACAACTTTCCATAAATTATTCCAGAACCAACTAGATGGCTATATCTGGACTACATGTACATGTATTCTCACTGTACCTTTCCAAATCCTTGTGAAGCCAAAACAAAAGTAAAAATTGTGATTAGTCCACTGTTAAAGCCAACTGCTGCATAACTGTGGGCAGGCAAAACCCGCACACACTTGGCAGGCTCATGAGTTACCTAAAAAATACAAAAAAATTCAGGTTTTCTCTACATCAGACGTATTTCCATAGTATGAAAATTAATGATTGGTGGTGTGCCAATAATCAATTTATTATTACAATGTACAATCAGTCGTTGATCAAAACTTTTAAGGGATGCGATTATAATCGATACTGGAAAACGCTCAACTGATGATCACAGAAAAAAGTAAAATTAATTTCTTGTTGGCAAATAAACATATTAAAAACTTGTGTATTGTCTAAAAAATGGTGCCATAATTAAAGGAGGGGGGCATTGGGGTATATTAGAAACCGCAAAACCGAAGAAAAAAATCATCCAAAACCGCAAAACCGCAAAAAAATTCGGCCAAAACCGAAAACCGAATACAAAACCGTCAAAAACCGATACAATGGTGACAATTGGGGCATACAGAGCAAACTAAACGAACACTAATTTCACCAAAGTATTTGTGAATGTCATGGACTTTGTCTGAAGCCTTTGTATCTTTTTGTGTCTGCTTAAATCATAGGCTTTGTTTCTGCCACTCTCTCGAGCCCAGACTTTGCGGCTCAATTTCCGAAAAGCCGCTAGTTATGGAGCCTAGTTAACTTAGGAGAATTTGCACACAAGTCCTCTTTAGAATTGCAATTTTGCAGTCGCAAAAAGCTATAGCTCNCCAAATCCTTGTGAAGCCAAAACAAAAGTAAAAATTGTGATTAGTCCACTGTTAAAGCCAACTGCTGCATAACTGTGGGCAGGCAAAACCCGCACACACTTGGCAGGCTCATGAGTTACCTAAAAAATACAAAAAAATTCAGGTTTTCTCTACATCAGACGTATTTCCATAGTATGAAAATTAATGATTGGTGGTGTGCCAATAATCAATTTATTATTACAATGTACAATCAGTCGTTGATCAAAACTTTTAAGGGATGCGATTATAATCGATACTGGAAAACGCTCAACTGATGATCACAGAAAAAAGTAAAATTAATTTCTTGTTGGCAAATAAACATATTAAAAACTTGTGTATTGTCTAAAAAATGGTGCCATAATTAAAGGAGGGGGGCATTGGGGTATATTAGAAACCGCAAAACCGAAGAAAAAAATCATCCAAAACCGCAAAACCGCAAAAAAATTCGGCCAAAACCGAAAACCGAATACAAAACCGTCAAAAACCGATACAATGGTGACAATTGGGGCATACAGAGCAAACTAAACGAACACTAATTTCACCAAAGTATTTGTGAATGTCATGGACTTTGTCTGAAGCCTTTGTATCTTTTTGTGTCTGCTTAAATCATAGGCTTTGTTTCTGCCACTCTCTCGAGCCCAGACTTTGCGGCTCAATTTCCGAAAAGCCGCTAGTTATGGAGCCTAGTTAACTTAGGAGAATTTGCACACAAGTCCTCTTTAGAATTGCAATTTTGCAGTCGCAAAAAGCTATAGCTCTGGAAATTTCAATCAAAAATCTCTAATCGAACATTTCCATTTGATAACCAACACCTGAAAGTTTGGAGACTCGATTGTCTAACATGCGATTGCACTGAGCTGAGTCAACACTGAGGAAGCTAACCGGTACAATTAGTTCCTTTTCAGTTTTACATGGCAGCAGGAACTTGCTCTAAGGTTTAATGTGGTAATAAACAGATACTCAAAAAAGCAGTCGATTATTGAACCTCACTGCCCTTTCAAAAACCAAAAACCACATCGGGTACCAAAACCGAAAAACCGCTAGTATTTTTCACGAAAACCGAAAACCAGATGCTAAAAAACGAAAAATCTGCAAACTGCAATGACCACCAAAACCGAAAAACCGAAGTCTTTTGCAACAAAAACCGAAAAACCGATCTAAAAAATAGCCAAAACCGCAAAACCGAAAATCCCAATGCCCTCCTCTTAAAGACTAAGGAGAATTTGATCACCTGAGTTCAGTGGTCCATGATCAAAAAACTGTCAATAAAGTTTATATTTCATTGTACTTTGACTTGCACAAAGGTGAAAATTTTATAAATAGAATTGTTATAAAGATTTTTTGAACTTTATAATTATAATCAATAATCCATGGGGTAGGTCAATCCGGTTAGCCATTGCTGAGGTTCAAAATCAACAAACCTACAGGATTGTACATGTACACTACATGTACAATATATGTAGTGGAACCTCTTCTTTGGGACACCTCAATTCAGGGACCACAAAATTTGTTCCTGGAAAAATGTCGATAGGATCTTTGTACATGTTACTTCTACTGAAGGGACACATCTATTGAGGGGAAAGGGACACTTTTTTTAGGTCCTGAAACCAGGGTTTAACCTCCATTCTGGGGAAACCTTAGCACTCAAAAAGTGACAGACCACAAACATTGTTGATACATGCAAGTTTGAGTGTTCACTAGTCACAATGGCAAAAGCTTTCAAATCTTGAACTATCTCACTTACAATAGATGTACTGGACTTTTAACACACAACATCGAAGAGATAAGTTATTTATGATTTTTTACAAATTATCTCGCTGCTTGAAATAATGACTGCAGCGGATTCCAAGCCAGACTAAAAGCAAATTTTATACTTTATTTGTTGGTTAATTATTAAAAAAAGCCCAGCCCAACCTCTATTCAGGAGACACTTGTGTTAGTCCCAAGGGTGTCTCCTGAGAAGAGGTTGCACTGAAAAGTAGAAACTATACCACATGCTCTAAGCAAAAAAAACTCACCTCTGATGGAAGTTTTGACAGTCTCTTACAAGTCCGATCATACAGGAAAATAGCTCCTAAATTTGTGCCAAGCACTATAGCATCAAATGAAACATCCAAACAAGTGTACTCGATCGTGAAGGATTTAAAATTGTCATGAGCTCTCTCTTTCAGGGCATTGAACAAGTTCTTTACTCCATGTCCTTTGGTACGGTCCCAGACATGACCCATTAAGTTCTTAGTTCCATACTGTGCTTTATATGGTAGACAACTGAGGATATCTTTCAGTGGTTCTAACTCAGAAAGGACAATGTCCCTCCCAATGACAAAATCTAGAGGTAAGCAACACATTGCATTATTAAACCTAGCTGTAATGGGAAACACTAAGTCTTAATCACTTTGTCTGATGCAAGTTTCATTTGCAGCCAAAAACAGTTTGTTTCAGGTACACTGTATTGCTGAGAAAGCCAGGTGTTGTTAGTATTAATTTTCATGTTTGTGTTTAATACAGAGGCCATGTTAGGGTAAAATTTCAACAAACAACATGGTTTCGAAACAGCTACATAAGACCAGATAAAAGGTGACAAATGATATAAAGTTCGGTTAAGTACCGACAGGGACATGTCCTACTCCTCAAAATGCGAAATGACCATATTTGAAATTTAAACTAGGGACATACATACCCCCAACCCCTCCCCTCCAAGATGGCCTCAGTTCACATACGGCTATAGGATTTCCTCTTTATTCCAGAGTAAATCCAACTTTGCACTGTATTCATCACCATTTCAAAACCATGTCATTTGTTGGACTATTTACTCTAAAACGACCTTTGTTGAATTGCAGTCTTTAAGCCAGAAATTTGTTTTGCTCAACGGCCTTTCACCAGGACTTAAGTTGATTTACCCAGATGAATAAAACACTTTAACAAAAAAAAATGTCCAGCGATCTTATTTAACCGATGGGAGCTGTTAACTTATGTGTTGCAGTCACTGCACATGTATTTCCACACTTATTCCTTTTTGTTCAGGTTCAGAGAAAGAATGAAAATTCTTATTGGGTGAATAGGCCATTTTACAGTTGTGTATGGAAGCGAGGCTGAGGGTGACCTTGTTTTGATACAAACCTTCCTGCTTTATTATGTAAATCAAGTTATTCTTATGCTAACCAGTATTTTTCAAGAACAATTTCCATAACAAAGCATAGAAGGTTTGTATCAAAACAAGGTCACCCTCAGCCTCGCTTCCATCCATAACTGTAAAATGGCCTATTGACATTCAATAAGGCAAACTGCTAAAGGGCAAATTGACTTTCAGGACAAAAAAAATAGCCAAAAACATGAGTACATGCATTAAGTTAGGGGAACCATTTTACAAAAAGCATGATTCAACTGTCAAGTAGATAATATACATGTAGGCATTATTGCAAATGTACTTTAACCTGTCTGTGTCTACTCTTCATAGTTATACATGTTGTTAGTTTGCATTGCCAGTAAAGGTGCCAAGAGAAACAAGGGAAGCTTTCTGTACAGCCATATACATGTACATCAACTAAATTGTATTTGTTGACTTTCCGTTGAATTTTAATTCAGTAGAGTTTAAAAATTCCGCTGCTTTTCATGTTCACTTGAAATAACATGCCAGTGCCTGCCTTCACACAACTTGAGATGGAACTGAGCGGAAATTTGACCCAAAAGAGAAACCAAAGAGACTTGAGCACTTTAAGATTCATAGAAAGTGAAACATTATAAAATTTCACAGTCGACTGAGGTCAAAATAGAATCATGTGATGGGCCGGCAGTCATGTTTCGACACCTCTAGCTTGATTATGAAAAGACCAAAAGAAAGGAAGTCCTGAGATGTGATCACTCGAAATACAGCTGTTAAACGAACTTGCAGAGGTACATTTTTCATATTGTTAACTTCAATTACTGCTATTATTATTTAAACGAATCTTTAACTCTTCTTTTAACAATCTCCGGTACGATTCGTCTCGAAATACTTTGCAATTGGCAAACTCACCTTGTGGTGTCTCCATTCTAATAATCCAATCTATCCCATTTTTATATCACTCGATACAGACGTCTTGAAATGCAATAGGGACAATACCTAATCGACGTCAACATTATTGCAAGCATTGCGAAAAGCATAAGCATTCCGTTCCACATCTAGCGCCATGTAGCAGCTGCGCCATGTTTACAATTATTTTTCGAGCCCGCGGTGTTGTGGCGTATTAGTCATGTACTGTGTCATGTAAGGTGTTTGGACTTTGTCCCCCCGGGATCGCACTCTTACTGAATGCGCTTCACAAGCAGCATTAGCCTGTGCCAGGCTCTCAGATAGTATAGTGGGAACGTATTAAAACGAGCAAAGCGAAAATAAGACGGGCACGACTTGGGAAAGGGGGCGATGCCGCCCTGTCTCTCCCCAGCCCCCGCGCGTTTTTCGCATTTCTTATTACTGAACGACTTTCCACCACTATCTCGGAGAGCCTGGAACAGGCTAAGGCAGCATTAGCAGGGGTGTAGCGTCCTTTACGCAAATACGCACGTACGTACTTGAGAAATTGGTAAGATTTTATTTTTAAAGATTTTCTGTTAAAAGTAAAAGCCATTTGAAGCGTCGAGACTTGACTTTGTATTGTACAGATTTAGTCCTGTCGGTCTCTCTGTTATTTCGCAACATTTTTGCACGTAAAATACAACAGTTTTGGAGCGGGAGTGGAATGTGATAAATTCGAAACAATGTTTCGATGTTTGCCTTCAGGAGATCCCACCATACATTGCGTATTCATGAAAAACGAAAAAGAATCGACCCTGATTATCATTCCTTTCAAGATTTATCTGAAACCTGATCTGGAAAATTTCCCCATTCAAAAAGCTATTCATTTGTTTAGTTTTCTCTCTCAATCTAAAAATGTCGAAAAAGTCTATCAAAGACCACTTTAATGTCGCTCAACTGGAAAATCATGGACCAAACCACTCCCAGAAGGCAACGATAATCCAAACACGTAAGCTGGCTTGTTTCATTTTGTGATATCGCTACAGCGGAATGAGAGAATTCTCGTCGTCCATCTGGCCTATGCGGGGATGCTCCGCCCGAAATGGGTGCCTTTCAACTGGCAATGCTACTTATTAAGTAAAGCCTGTTTCAAACGTAGTGCTACTGCCGTGCTAAGCTGGCTCGACTGTAGCTCGACTGGCACGGCACTAGCACGACTTAATTCCAGACGTCGAGTTTACTTCAGTCGAATAGACCTTGTCACGGTTTTCAACGCCATCTTGACGAGTAGGCAAACGCGTGAGAAATTACAGTGTTTGTATGAGAATCTAATGTCGAATAATTTCCGTAGAACGGCTGTTCTGAAAAAAATGTGATTTGTAAACTAAAGCTTCACTCCTAAGGATTCTCCTGAAAAAATTTGAGGGCGTTTCATGCACTAGAAGACCTAGAACCACCTTTTAAAATTTTCTATACATTTGTCTGTAAGAAAGTCCCGGGAAAATTACAGACAAATATGTGGAAAATCTAAAGCAAGCCTCTGGAGAAATTTACGCACAGGTACGCCCCCAAAATTTTTTAGAACAATCCTTTGCTTTGTAGGTTTAGTTTACAATTGATATTTTTTTCAGAACAGCCGTTTTACGGAAATTATTCGACATTAGATTCTCATACAAACACTATAATTTCTCACGCGTTTGCCTTCTCGTCAAGATGGCGTCGAAAACCGTGACAAGGTCTATAGAACGGCTGTCGCCGAAAACAAAACACAAAAACAAAAAAAACCGGGAAAGCAAACTTTTAAAATTATTCTAAGGGACCGGTCATTATTTATGTGGGGGGGTGGGGGGGAAAAATCATGGGGTGGGCTAGGCCTATTTTTTTTAGAGAAAAGGGGTGGGTCATTGTGTGTGTTTTGTAAAGAATCACACTCACTACAATTCATTTGGAAGATCTAAATAAATTCTAATGCAATGCTGGACATAAAATATAACACAACTGGATGTCATATCTAGCAATCCAATCTAAGTATGGAGATTCAAAGATGTGGGCACTAAATATCAATAAATAAACATAAGCCCTTATTGAGAAGGCTTGCATGCTTCCTTTTCTTAATATAACTGTCTGGGAACTTTTACTACCTGAAGCGTGAACAGCTAGAAATCATTATTAGTTTCAGTAATGGATTATTGAATTCCTTATTCAATTTAGTGAAATCAACTTTTTCCAATTTTCAAATCAAAAATAGTTTGAAAATTCGTTTTTTTTATTGAATTACTATTTTTTGTTTAAAGGAGCAAATTTTTTTAAACTGGTTTTGATTTGAATATTGCAAAACTTATTTTTTCAATAATCGATTAATGAAATCAATTATGATGTCAAGGTGTTCACGCGTCAGGTAGTTTGACTGTAGAGGTATAGATTGAAGGGGGATGGGGTTGGGTCACCTCTTATATAATGTTATATGGGGGTGGGTCAAGAGTTAACTAATGGGCTTAAAGGGGTGGGTCACGTTTTTTCTTTCATGCAAAAACAAAAAAAATCGCCCCCACCCCCCCACATAAATAATGACCGGTCCCTAATGTATTTATAATTTATGAACTGAGTTCAGCACGACAGCAGTGCGATGTTTGAAACCAAGTCGAGCTACTGCGCTGCCTTAGCACGGCAGTAGCACGACGTTTGAAACGGGCCTAAGAAATATAGGGCAACCGAGATTGCAAGCCGTTAAGACCACGCACGGTTCTCGCCTTGCGCGCGCTACGCGCGCGACGAGATTATAATCTCTCTTCGCGAGAACAAAAGCAATGACTCTAACTGACTGTAAAGTAAATTTTCTACATTGTAATTGCCAATAAATGGCTTTAAAACAAGACGCTGAGCATTTTGTTTTTTGTCCTAAACAGGGTATGTATTTTAGGAATTTTTTGTCCTAAATGGGGTCAGGGTTTCAAACCCTCAGCGGCACACCTGTTTACAACTATCCCCAGAAGCGCCGAGGTTTATATCTAGTGCAATGAACCGACCCTGAGGAGGATAGTTGTTTTAGTATTTACCAGATTAGTTGGATAGAAATCAAAAAGGAACTTATGGCCATATGACCATAGCTCAACAAGCTCCTCAGTGCATGTTGTGAATTGAGAAAGTGATCACCTTTAACTTGACTTGAAAGTGAACATATTTTCATACAAATTCACTCTTGCATGGGTATTTGTTTGTCATGCATGTACACAAATAACTATAAACACTTGCATAAAATAATAATTTGCTACTGTTTACAGGCATTCATTGCTATTGAAGACCCACATATTCAATAATCATAAGTCATGATCACTTTCATCATTCTCATGAATT